CAGCCACCCAGCCACCCAGCCACCCACCCACTCGCCCACCCACCCGAAGTCGCAGAATGTCGCAGAGCTTGGAGCTGTTGGCGTGGCGGCGTCATCATGGCTTTCGCGCGGCGGCATGCCCACGCCGTCTGCCGTTCGCGGCGTGAGGTAAGCCAACTGCGACAAAGGCGAGTCTGTATCACTGATGCTGTCAGCCGCCGTGACCGGCTCGGCAGGGGGAGACAAGGGGGAAAGGGCGGCAAGCTGCATTGCGAGAGACCCGCTCGCGCGAGGGCTTCCACTGCACGGCGCTGGCCTCCTCGGCGCCAACGCGAGTGGGCCCAGGGTTATCTGCCTCGCCGAGGTGCACACGGCGCCAGGGTGCGGCAGCGCGAAGCTTGCAGCTTCCATGCAAAACGATGTGCGCAAGTCTGGCGTCGAACGGAGCGGCTGTGACGCTGACCGCGCCTGGGGCAGCGGGGGCCATGGGCAGCGTGCGCACGTCGTAGCACAACCAGGTTGCAAGGTGTTTTTTTCCACCTGGACCTGCATTCGCGTACATGCTGCAGGAGGCTCTGAGAAAGTAAGAACCGTCCTAGCCGTAGCCACGAAACTGATGCAACCGCGCCTTTGCGCTCATAGAGGCCTCACCCGTGGTGACGGCGGCCCGCGCGTCTTCCTAGGCGACGCGCCGCCGTTCTTGCCTCCTCCTTTGCCGCGCCTCAGCCGGCACCCTGGCCGGCGTGAAAATCCAAAGGACGCGGAGTATTGCTCCGCGATTAGGTCAACGATCAGAACATGGAGGCTGCGCTCTTCCAGGGTCTGGGCATTTCACTTGCCACATTGATGCATCAAGATGGGCAGATTACTATGGTTGCCTAATCGGAAACGATGTTCAGATGACCGATGCTATCCAAGCTTACATCCAGGCAAAGCTCTCCGGAATACCCTGTTGGGTTGAATTACCTTATGAAGCATGGCATCCTTCAGCCAACAAACACAATTCCGACGACCTGTGTGCCGATTAGTCAGAGCTCTATACGGTCATACTGATGCTGGCGCAATTTGAGAACAGCATTGTCATACTGCAGTGCAAGAGGTCGGATTCAAGCCAAGTGGAGATGAACGGGCCGTCGCTAAGTTCCATTCAACTTTGAAGTTGTTACTTGTGATTTACGTCGATGATTTGAAGATGGCTGGACCCAAGGAACATTTACCGAAAGGATGGAACATGCTTCGCCAGGAACTAACGTCTTGCATAAGAAACACGAGGGGCTTGCATCTCGGATGTCGGATCTCAAAAAGCGAGGCAGAATTGCATGACAAGACCAAGGTGCAAATTGTCACTTGCGACAGGAAGCGTGCTTTGAGATGACTGTCAAGAAGTACCGTGATTTCGCAGGGTCCGATCCGAACAAATTCAACACAGTGCCATCGCCAAGCCTTGCGGAGGAGACACAAAATCACCCAGCTCGGGCTCCGACATGTACTGGCAACGGTCATCGACGGCCCGGCGGCAACGCAGAAGGCGGATCCCGCAAGACGCGCCAACGCTTCGTGCTCCTGCAAAGCGATCCGGCGGTCCCTGAACCAATGCCGTTCACATCATACTGTTTCCGGCGCATCGCCCTGGGAAGAAAACAATTTGGTCCATTCAAGCCTGTGCAGCAGCCTCGCCGTGGAACAGAAGTGATCACTTTCATCCAATGAGAGTCGCATGACCCACACATTTCCCACAAAATCAACAGGTTGCAATGGAGCTTCAGCTCTAACTATGTTGGCTTGAACGTTGAAGGTCCTCGCCGTTTTTTCCTCATCGCCAACCAATGCAGCAACCTTTGCCTTGGGTTCCGGTTTCCTTTGCGTTGGCCTCAGGTTTAGCTTTGGCCTTAGCTTCAGCCTTGGCTATTGCTTTGGCTTCCTTAGTTGCCGCTGCTGCCTCTGCTGCCTCTGTCGATTGATGATGGTTTACTTTTACGATCCCCTTTCCAACACCGGGCTTCGCATGCTTGAAGGGACAATCGGTTCCTTTGTTACAAGCACGTCTTGTATTTTGTGATTCTGCTGCCTTGCCCTTCGTTTTGCCTTTCTCTTTGCCCTTGAGCGGCGGTGCAACAGCGTACTCATGGTATCTCATGGTCTATCCCGGTCCCAGAAAGGCTTGTGCAAACATGCTCTTCAGCGCCCATTCGGCGCGCCTTTGCTTCCAGGGTTGCTACCAAGGTGTCCAAACCGGGTTCCGAAAGGACAATCAACGCAGGAGATAAGCGAAACAAGTTCAAACGCGTAGCCAAACAAGTTCCTGGTCAAAGCGCTCACTGAGCCAACTCATGGGGAGCTATGTGTAGCAGCACGTGTTCTTGCCAGTCTCGCGCGACACAAGGTGTCCAACAAATCCTGAAACCTATAGACCTATATAATGACGTTTTCTCTTCCATTCCTCCTGGGCTGACTTTTCCTACACGCACTCAAGCATCCGAACTGATGGAACTCGTTGTCCTGCGCTTTGCTCCATGACTGGCAATACTGGCAGTACTCGCATCAACGTGAGCGGCAGTCGATTCTTCATTTCCTGACAATGCGATGGCATTGGCGGCGCCTCAATGCCCTCTGGTTTCAGCTGTGTTTGTCTGGCATCATACCGACCCTTCGCCGTCTCCAGCTGCTTCAGGAAATACTGGCTAAACTCATGAGCTACAGACAAAGCAACCGTGGTAAATTCGGAGATCCGTTGTTGCAGCTGCAAACCACATTCCCGCGGCTCCCCAGAGGGCATATTCAGCGATGGCCCAGCCTGGATCTCTACAGCCTCAGTCGTGCTCTGCAAGTATTGGTGGGTCAGACAAGATTTATAAACCCAGAGGTTGGTCCCATCCTGGAGCCAGGCCGGCATCCCCCTTCCAGGAATAAGTATTATTGCCCACGAAAATATTCCGACATTGGAACGAAATTCGAAAGCTACGCAAAGGATTCGCACCCAAATGTGGACGCTTGCGCGATGATGACGGCAAGGTTGTGGAAAGTGAACTTCACGCAGAGTCATTGGCGAACTATTTCCAGGACGTGCAATGGGCCGTTCGTCCCGTCTCAATTGCACCTACTGATAGCCCGATTGGCTTGCCCCTACCAGTTGACATGGGGCCGTTCAATGATAAAGAGATTATTGCAGCAGCCACACGTTTGCGGCGCAACAAAGCGACAGGAACCGACCACGTGCCAGCAGAATTCTGGAAAGTTATTTGTCGCAAAACTTCTCCCGCGTGTAGATTGGCCACTACTTTTTGCAACGCAATCCGTGAGCATGTGACGGTGCCATCTTCGTGGCATGACGCTTCAGTGACGGCGATTTAAAAAAGGCGATCCCGGTCTGTGCAAAAACTATCGCCCCATCACCGTTGTATCGGCTGGTTATAACTTGTTTGCCATGGCTCTATTCAGACGTTTGCAGAATGCTGGAGCTGAGGAGCGAATCTGGCCTACACAATTTGCGTTTCGTACCAAGCGTGGCAATGCTGACGCGATCTTCGTTGCACGGAGACTGCTCGACGTGACATTGGCAGACCGGAATGGTACTTTGGTAATGCTGTCCCTGGACTGGGAAAAAGCTTTCGATTCTATCGGTCCCGACGGTTTGCTTCATGCTCTCGAGAGATTTGGTTTACTGCCTTTGTTTCGCGGACTTATCCGGGCAATTTACAGCAACAGGACTTTCACAGTCCGCGCGTCTGGTCATTCATCGGCTTCACATATTCAATGCTTTGGCATTTCGCAAGGATGCCCGCTTTCACCCTTCCTCTTTTCAATCTTGATGACGGTGTTATTTACAGATGCTACTCGGGAGTTCCAATCTGTCTCAGGCCCCGATTCCCCACCCGCGCTCGTCAATGACTTGATTTATGCGGATGACACTTTGATTTTGGGCCTACAACCGCGGCAAGCTGAATCCTTCATGTATCGAGTTTTGGATG